TTGAAACCATACCATTTTTTGTAATTTATATAACATTTTAAGGGTAATTTCGTCTTTTCAGCCTTAGAAGGCTATTGTGGGGAATGGTTAAAATTTTTGGGCAAAATGGAAAAAGGGTGCTTTGACTTGGGCATTTTGAAAAGTACCCCCTTGCTCAACAGGGACGAATATCACTACAGGTAAGCACATATGTTTTTAATTCTCATTTCATAAAATTGATAGCAAATTAAACCAGATTAGCCATAAAATCTGTAGAAATTTGAAATTTGAAGAAATTTGAGCTTTCGAATTATAAAAGATTTGTTCTTTCTTATGTGTTTATATCCCAGTGCCGACTTCGCCACTGGGATGGTGGGAAGATGGTGAAATACTCGGAAGAAGAGATGGGGAAGCCGGTGGGACCTGGCTGGCTTGCACGAGGAGCGGAAGGCTTGCATTCGTTACGAATGTGAGGGAAATCAAATCAAATTTCCAGGGCAAGAGCAGAGGTGATCTCCCTCTTCGGTCTTGAAGGTGATTTTTCCATTTTCCTCCTTCTGGCATGATATAATATGTTATCTTTAAGTATGATTAGATTTAGTGAAAGCCATTCTTCAAACCATCCTCTGTTATTTTGTTTCAGTTACCTTGCAATGAGATGCAGTGTCAGCCCATTACTGGAGAATGGAGGACCTGAATTTTCTGCATTACACATTCTTCAATATTTCAATTTTTGTCTGCGGCGATTTCCCTTCTCTTTCCTTCATAATTTATTTTGGTTCAGGGGATGGGTCATGGGTTGTGGGGGGTGTAATTGGTTTTAATCTGGACTGTATTGTACATTCAGACTCACAGCTATAGTACAGTAATGCTAATGGGTTGCAGACCATATCAACAGCTCTTCCATCGTGGAGATAAGGCATATCTCACATCACCAGAGGTAACGTCTTTCTCATTCTGCTGAATTGTTGTCTATCAGGCTCAAAGGTTGAGGTATAGTTTCAAGGATATGTCAAATAAATATGGTCAAGCTGAAATTTCTATTGAAGAGGTGACTGGAAATCTAATGGGAGACACTACCAAGGATGACCAAAGCAAGCTGCCTCTCATTTATCCTCCAGAATTTGAATGTCAGTTGAGTTCCATATTTTTTGTGGCGGATACACCTTTGGTAATCTGAATTATCATTCCATCTTTATCTTGTTGGGGGCTTTGATGCATATCCTTCTTGTAGAAACAGAACTATGTTTTTATTCCAAATGCGTAGGGGTGTTATCTGCAGTAGTCTTGAGAACAAGTGGGGATGTGATCTTTTATGAAAGACATCTTGAAAAAGATTTGTGGAAGGAGAAGGCAATTTGCTACCATATGGAGAAAGAGAAAGCTACATGTTAACTAGTCCAACCTGTAAGGAAAGGTTGAATTTTGCATTTGTAGGTGCTACGCATGTAGCTTTGATAGAACCTTTTGGCCCAAGGATCCTGCTGCATCTTTTCACATGTGCACGCTGAACTTTTTTGATGTCGACTTCCTTTGGATCCAAAGAAAAAAAGGAGGATTTCAAGAATATACCATGAGACTTTCCAATTGCCTTAAAAATGTAAATTTTGGTTATTTCAGTCAAATTGGCCAGTAACTTTTTAATTGTATGCATGGCTCTTAGGTCAATTCATGCTGATCCCTCTCCTTTTTTCCTCTCTATATTGATAAATCTATTACGCATCTATCTAATTTCTTGTAAACCTTCCGTATTTGATGTATTTCTTTTCCAGAAATGGTCCATTTTGATTGTATTATATTCTCTGTAGATATGGCTGGGGTGAATATATGGAAGTTCACGCCTTGCATCACTAAAAATATAAGAAGCCATTTAGAGTAGAAAGACTCGTTCTTCGGGTTATTTGACTGCAATCTGAGAAAATGCCCCAAGGAGCTACCTATAACATAGCATTCCTGGAAGTCCCAGTCCGGATGAATGGAGCCCTTATGGAATGTAGGTAGCTAAACATTTAGCCCCTGTTTGAGCCACATTAAAATTTTCATTCTCATTCTTCTACTCATTTTCAACCACACATTCTGCAATAAAATAATATTTTCCATCATATCAATAACTTTTACTTCTTTTTCAACAACACATTCTCCATCAATCTACTATTTCAAAATACATTCTTCCAAATTAATGTGGCTCAAACACACCTTTAGGATTAAAATTTTTCTGTTCACCAAGCATTTGCTCTGGTGTTATGAAGAAAATTTTAACTGTCTACAAAGGAAATAAGTAGATTATTTATCGTCAGAATCTATGAACGTCCAAGTAGTCTTCTGTCCGAACTTTCAGCTTTCTAGACTCTCTGTTCATTGTAAATTTGGATTAAAAGGATGCATGGATCAATGTTCATTGGTTAGATGCAGCTGCAACAAATCTTATGTCTTGAATGAAATCTGAGTGGAAATGATTGGTTCATTTTTGGTCCAGACCTGATTCAAAATTGATGAGGATGACGTCTTGTACGTTATGGAGTATTATGTCTCATGTGCTCACTGCTATTAATTCTATTATTTAGAAATTTGAAACTCAGCTTAGTCTAGGTAACATTAAAAAAATAAAAAATAAAATTATGGGACTGGGAATTTTTCTATTGTGATTCTGATGAAATTGATTGTCGATTGCTACATTGTATCACCATGCTTATATTGGGAAGTCGACCCCCGACACGTGCGTGCACAAATAAAAGAAAATGAATTGCATATTTACCTTTCCTTTTTAACGTGTCCATTCAATGGGAATCACGTTATTGCTGATTCAAAGTGAACCATTTTGAACGATGAATAGCAGAGGGTTCTGTGGATGTTGTTCATGAAGTCAGTATATTTTATCTTTCATGACCTGTGTGGTAGATTGATATATGAGTATTCAATAAAGATTAAAGAAAAAATTGACTCATTTCGAGTCTTTAAAACTCATTTTGACTTTTCAAAAATTATGTCAAACAAGCCTTATTATATAATATATAAGACTTACAAATAATTGGAAGACTATTATTCTTTATTGTTTACATATATTTCACAACTTATATACGTAGAGTTGTGCACGATCACAATATCGAATTATTTTATTGGAATACATTTTTATTCGGCATAAATAATTCACTCTCTTATGGATAGGCTTCAATTA